CCATAGATCACTCATTAGAAGTCCTTTTCCAATATAATAACCTCAAATAAAAAAGAAAAAAGAAAAAAAAAAAACATTAAGATCTCAAGAACTTGAAGCTATTCAAATCATACTTTTTCATTAACAAGAGAAATCACTCATTTTATGCTTGGGAATAAAAGATATAATAAACTGAGTCACTACCTTCTGATGGTGTGGGGTCTAATGGTTATTCTTCAATTTAGACCGGAAAAGCAAGTTTGGACAAGCCACACCATTAGAACGTGAACCCTAAGTTAATTCCTTTAACAATCTAGTTTGAGAGAGAGAGAGATTCTTTTTTTACTACACTCTAAAACCCTTAGTCATAAATCTATAGTTGAGAGATGAGAGAGAAAAGAATTTCGTAGCTTATACTCTTAGCCATAAATCTGTAGTTGAGAGATGGGAGTGATAAAAACTTCATAGTCTAAACCCTTAGGTATAAATCCATAGTTGAGATATGGAAAAACAAGAACTTCATAGCCTACAAGAGGTGGCGAGAGTGGGGCATACCCCTTTAGGCTTTCTTGAGAGAGAGAGAGATTTCCAAGATGAGAGAGAAAGACTTTCTCAAGTGGGGTGTAGCCCTTAGATGGATGAAAGAGAGCGATAGAAAGTTTTGGTGTAGAGAATTATGGGCACGGGTCCTCTTTTTATAAATAAAAAATAGGATTAAGAATTTCTTTAGCTTCTTCTTACAGATCGAATATAAGTCATTGATCATGGGTGACTTGTGGAGTGAAAGATTTGAGCCCCCATACCATAGATGGGGATCAATATGGAAATTGCTAGAACATTTATCTCTTCTTTTTTTTTAACCATTATCCCATCAATATAAATCAAATAAAATAATATTAATCATAATATTGTCCTTTATCCAAAAATATTCACAAGCCTTATCATGCTTTTTAAAAGTTTCATTCAAATCTTTCATAAGATAAATCACCTTCTCAAATCTCATAATGACTTTGCCTCTAATCCAAAAGTATTACTCTTATCATCTTCAACCCGTATAAAATATGAAAGGCTCCTAAAAGTGGGACGTGCCACCGAAACGAGGGCTACGTGAGCCCCACATACTTTGGGCATGGTTGATCCATATGCACAATGGGCCCCCATACTCTTTATATATTTTCTAAATATTAGTAAAGGATTTTAGAATTAATTTGGATTTTTTAAATATTAAAAAAAATCAGTATCTCTGTTTTTATAAATTAAAATTTTGTAAATAAAATATCTAGAGATCTAGAAAAATTCAAATAATAATTCTAAAATTATATTATCATAAAATAAACATAATTAAATTCATTAGATGGGATAAAGATCCACATGGTCTAGGAATAAACATTTGGGGCACTCCATCCTCAACCGTGGACTACATTTCACACTTTTTATCAACCGACCCAGTGTTTCCTATAACTCATAGTTCATGCAGAGGCTTATTAGTGGGACACCAGAGCCTCGCTGATGAGCCAATGGGTAGTAATTTCAGTTTTATGGATTTCAGGTTCTGTCATAGAGACGTGCCAATGTCACCTAGACTTGATGCGATCACAACTCCTATGACCCATAAGGGTATCTCTCACATATGCATAAGCTTCACTGTAAAAGGTGATTCGCTTTCTCGAAACGGTTATCATTATGCATGTTGTATGATGGTATATGGATGAGGCTTTAGCCCCCGTCTCTGAAGGCGACCATCACACAAAATGGCCGCATAGTCTTTTGGCTCACTCATCCGAGTATACTCCGACCTCATCTAGAGATGACTTATTATAATTTTTATCGAATAGTTTTCTACACCCAGGTAACATCGTTTGTTTAGTATGGTCTACAAAAGACTACATTCCTACTGAGTTCATATTCCACTATATCATTTTATTTTACAAGCACTCATAAAGCTTTTAATGACCAAACTCACCCAGCACATATAATGTGCATGGTTGAGATAAACCTTTGGAATGGTATCAAACTCCTCTCAAACATAAAAGAGTAGCTCCTTATTACTTGACAGTTGAGTCTGCAAACTTTCTGGTTCTATACTGCATGAACCATGGTGCAATTTCGAAATTAATTTACTTAATAAAGTGTATTTGTTGTGATGATCTATTATTCATTTACCCGATTACAGCGGATCATTTTAATTTTCCGAGATAGATGGAGTTATGTAAGCCTGTAAAGCTATATTCCAATTAAACTACGAAAATCATTAGATACATAGCATGCACACTTCCAACTTAAATCTTTCTTTTCATGCCAAATATCAATCACTACAGTTTGCTGTAAATGTTATAAACACTTAAAAAATCATGCATTAAGATCACAAATTTCATCATGCACAAGAAATCAAAACCCCAAATAGAATATGCATTTTGTGAACCGTATCCGGGAGCTAATTAACCAAGCACAAATTTCCAACAAGTATATCAAGATTAGAGCTCCTTCTAAATCATAACGAACAAGTAGGAATGATGCTATACGGTTCTCTCGTTGCTCATGGAACATTTTCCCAATTTCAAATAATATTTGCAATAAAAAAAATGAAACAAAATCATAGAAGAAACACACTGATTTTGTATAGGCTTGCATGCATGTTTTGTTGCTACCTAGAAACCATGAATGGCGTGTGTGAGAAAAAAAGAACAATAGAAACATGGTATTGTAACTATCCTATGATCACTATGGGGCTCTTATAGAGTTGAGAGGCACGTCCTTATACTCAACTCACTAAGAAGCATAAGAGAGAAGCAATCGTTGTTAGAATACTTTGATGACATGATCGTGATGACTAGCCAACTTGTCGATTATTGAGAACCCAATCACAAGGGTCATCAAATCATACAACTCATTATGAATGTTCCAAGAACAAAAAACTTGCGTTAGAATGGTACTTTTAAATTTCTCTCTAGGCAAGGAACTAAGCAAGGTTTTCATATCTCTAGAAAATCAATGAGTTTCTCTTATGATTTTGTTCCCATTTTATATTTAAATTAGTACTTGAAATTTGGGAAAAGTTACATGAGTAAGGAGAAAACCTTAAGGAGAAAACCTTTAAGGCATCATCTGTAGTTGTTCGATATGATTTAGATGGAGTTCAATCTAGGCATTGCTGGGAATTTACTTTGGGTTTATTAATGCTCTTGGATAAAGTTCACATCATACTCAATTTCAGGTTTTAATTTTTTGTGCATGATAATATTGTTGATCTTAATGCATGATTTTTAAACTGATGATAAGACTTCTAGCAAACCATAACGATTTGATTTTAGCACAAAATGAAGGATTTAAGATTGCATGCCAAGCGTTCAATTTTTCTGGTTTAATTGAAATATCAATTTTTATGCTTATATGGCTCCATTTATTTTCAAAAACCAAAAAGATCTGACGTGATTGGGCCAACACGTGGTATAAGCTCCCAAATTTATAGAAAGATATTGATAAAAACTAGCGCCACAATAGGTGTAAAGACAACCTTCCGGAATAGTGAGTTAGAAAATGATATTTTAATGAGACAACTCGAGGGATATGAGTCTTAGGAACAAGAAAACAGAATACGCAAATTAAAGAAGTCTATCTATGGCCTTAAACAGTCCTCAAGGCTATGGTCATCTTCAGAATTTGAGATGGACTTTGGAGAACTTAAAAAATAAGTAACAAATAAAAAATCTTGGTATAAAAATTACAAGAAATAGGGAGATGAGAGCAAGCAAGAATTATATATTAAAAAGATTTGAAAGAAACATGGGAAGAAAGAGAATGACTAAGCTAAAGAGAAAAATGAACGAGCCCAAAGAAAGCTTTTAT